GGCGGGGGGTGGCGGGGCCCGGCCCCGGCCCTCCGGGGTGGAGTGGCGTCGCGAGCGCAAACAAGAGGAGCACTCGGCTACTGCGCAGCACCACGCCACGGGGGCGCGGCGGGGCGCGGCGAGACGCGGCGGGGCGCGGCGAGGCGCTGCGGGGCGGATACTCTCGTTCACACCCCCGCGGGCGCGCCTCAGACACCGGCGGGGAGCGCGCCCTACGCAGCCCCGGCCGTCACGTCGTCAGCCCAAGGACGGGTCGGGCCGGACAGGCGCGGCCACAACGGCGTAATAACCAGAATCATTGATGCGGCACCTCGGTACGCCTCGGCCCCGGCCGGCCCGGCCCGCAGGCTGCATCGACCACCGCGGCGCCGGGACCGGGACGGACATTTGCATGTCTGAGTCACACTGGCCGGGGCTGGGCCGGGGCGCGAGGTGGGCGAACGCACGTCCACACCTCTTCCTCCCCAGCGGCCCCGGCCCCCGGCCCGCTCCTCCTCCTCTGGGCTGCCGCTCCAGCAGCTCGACGTATCGGCACGCTCCTTCACAATCAATGCGGGGGCGGCGGCGCCGGCCGAGGTTTGTGCCAGCCTCAGGGCGCACCCCGGGCCACCCTGTGGGGCACCCTACCCTGGGGGGCACCCTGGGGGGGCATCCCGCGGGCCTGCAGAGCGCAGGGATGCGATGCCGGGCCGCTCGCGTCGGCCTTGACCTCGATGCGGTCCCGGGGCCGATAAGACAACAAGGGCACACCGGGGCATGCTCCGCCAAGGGATCCTACATACGGTCGCACGCACCACCGCTCTAAAATCACACTTGTTTTCTTTGCCGATATCGTTTCATCTTCCATCCGAACCGGTCCGTTCCGGCCAGCTTATCATCTCGTTACGTTACGGTGTTACGGTGCGCGAGCTGCCACCCTGCCCTGCCCCCCTGCGCCTGCATGCATGGCGTGCGGCAGGCCCCGCCCGCCGCACCGCACCGCACGGTGGGTGCGGATGGTAATGGTCCAACGGGGCGAGCCGGCGAGCCTCGGGGGAACCTTTGGCTCATCAGCTGTCACATCTGGTGGCATCTCTCACAATGACCCGGCGGCACCCGATGGTGAGCGGGGGAAGTGCAGCAGGGCGGGGAAACCGCAAGTAGTCGATGGTGGGAAAAGGGGGGGGGGGCGAGGGGAAGGACAGTGCGGAACCGGAAGGGGGAAGGGCAGGAGGGTAATTACATTCATAGAGAAAAAGGCGGACAAGGCGAGGAAAAGAGCTAGATGAGAGAAACGACAAGTTACTCCTCCTCCCTCTCCCCTCCCTAGCTGCGCCTTGGGTCGACGCCTGGGCTGAGCTGGGCACCGACATCGCACCGGAAATCTGGGCAGGGCGTTGCAGCCAGCACAAGCGTTAGCGCGGCGCAGCAGCGGTGCAGCTTCGTTAGTATGCGCTAGACATACTGCGCGATAATCCGGTGCACGGGCCGGGTGGGGCGTACACAGCCACAAGCGACGGTAAAATAATTGGGCTCAGCCCAAGTAATGCTTTCAGAAAAACAAATTTACTGTTCCAATTCGATATTCCTAGGTGGCTGATTTGGTAAACTTGACACGGTCACACAAGTTGCCGGCACAGTTTTCAGAGAAACACTATAACATGTCGGAAATACTTTTCCTAGCTATAAGCCTTACAAATTTTTGTGGAGCTTCCACATCGTATTTGATTAAACAACAAAACTAAGATGCTCAAGAAAGAAGATAATACCACTTTAAGGGGACGTAATGTCCACACTTTGCATACTTGGACAACAAGCTGATGATAATCGTTGGTTGGTCTTGTCATGCGACATGAAAATATCAAGTTAGGGACTTTAAAGCTAGTGTGGCTGGCACACAAACGAATGTCAAAGATAGGACTGACTGAAACTGTGTCAGCAGGGTGGAAGATATCATATTTCAGAATTATGCACATTGCGCTGAAGAAAGTTAATAGTGAATTATCCAATGTTTTCCTCATAAGTTAAAAACCATAACCTTAAAAAGATTATGCACATATGTTTATATAGACTGCTTACAGTCCGTCCCTACTAAGAAAATTCGAAATATAACTCTAGATACTGTTTACAAGTTAAAAAGAGAGAGTTCCCACCCAACTCGGCTGAATTTTAATCATTCATTCATATTCATCACAATGGTAGGATTCACAACTGGAGGAACTAGTTGTCTGCCCTAGAAGTGTCAACTGCACTGTCACAAGAGGATTTACACCCTCAAATCGTTTACATATGACACAGCAAATGCATTTAATGATAGGAAGTACCAAACAGAACTAAGCAAGATTGAAAAATAGCCGCTGAGATACAAATATAGCTCGCATAAATCAACGAAAAGGAGTGGCAGATCGACATACATTAACCAATATAACTGGAAATGGTTGAAACAAAAGTACTGCTTCCCAACATACCTTTGTCTACGCATCCGTCCAAAAAGTTAAAATTCAGAGTAACTGCATTCTTATAATCACTGTAAGAAGTGCATTTTCTTCGCTATATCAAAGCGCCGTTCTGAACACTCACTGATCGTCAAAACCCATGAGGCTAGTTTAGTTATGAATGTGTTCTTAAAGGTTATGGCGCTCACAGCCTTCCTGAATTGATCTGAAACTGAGAAGTTTGAATGGGAACAAACTAAACACGACACCGTAGGGGGTTGGGTTGGGGGGTTGTTTGTTTGTTTACGCTGTTTATTTGCCACCTTGTTGACGACAGTGGAAAAAACGTCAGGAATGTAAAACTAATTTCGCGTGCGAACGATGTTACTAGCGTGTTGTGACATATTACAAAAAAATTAATATTTTAAGAGAAGTCAGCGCTATCATCAGGTGCCATCCTGAGGTGTTTACAACTATATCTTGGCTCTTATTGCACATAGTATATGTCGAAGTTACCAAACAACTTCCCTTGGAAACTATTTAATGTTGATTGATGTTCCTTGAGTGCCCGTGAATGTACTTTCTTCCTGAACTGAGGGTGTTTGCGGACTTGATTTGCTCATGTACGTTGGCACGACATTGGCCGCGAAAAATCGATCAAACATAAATGAACTGCCGGACGTGCTGCATTCCAGAGCGACCTGCGTTATTGAAATGTTATTGATTGAAGTCTGAAGTGACATTGATAGCTCTGTCCCGGATCTTTTACGGCCACGACATCATTATTTCAGAACAATGCGACTTAAACATTTAAGCACAATAATCCCTGCACAGGTATGTTTCATGTGGAAAAGATTCGAGATAGTTCGTAGAAAACGCATTGTGCAACTAACAGCTGTGATCCTCTGATTTTACAGGATGGGGAGGCTCGAGTTACTGCTGTTGCTTGGGCTCCTAATAATTTGAAACTTGCTGTCTGTACTTCAGACAGAATTGTGTTATTATTTGATGAAAATGGAATAAAACGTGATAAGTTTCCTACCAAGCCATCAGATTCAAAGGTATATCAAATTTTGTTTTGCTTCTTGTTTTTAAAAAACTAGTCAGCTTATTTTATGATTTGTCTTAATTTTACAGTTTGGTAAGAAAAGTTATTCCGTTAAGGGCTTAGCCTTTTCTCCTGACTCTACTAAAGTGGCTGTGGGTCAGACAGACAATATTATTTATGTCTACAAACTTGGAGATGAGTGGTATGTAGTACGACTTGAAATTTGGAAGCTTGTACCTTCAAAGAAAATATGACCCTCGGTTTATTCATACTCCATTTTTCTTTTCAGGGGTGATAAAAAAGTCATATGCAACAAATTTCCTCAACAGTCTGCTGTCACATGTCTGGTATGGCTGGCAGATGGTCCTATCATTTGTGGCACTGCAGATGGAAAAGTACGAGCTTCCCATATCAAAAGCAACAAGACCCAAACCCTGTACACAACAAACTCTTATGTGGTGTCCCTTGCCATGAAGTAAGAATCTATTTCGTCTATAACAGCATAGCTTGGAAATTAAATTATAAGTTTAAAATAAGGATTTCTTTTTTTTTCAGTTCTCAGGGTACAGGATTTTTGTCAGGTCATGCTGATGGCACCATAGTTCGTTATTATGTAACACAAGAAGACAATATGGAGCAGCAGGTTGAGTTGTAGTGACATGGCAGTCTTATGATCACAGGAAAGCAGTTACTAATTGAAATTTGCTTCATCTCCAGGGAAGAGTTACAACACATCCAGTCCCTCCTTATAGCTTGTCATGGCCAATGGGATCTGTAATTGCAGCTGGCTGTGATAAAAGAGTCACAGTTTACGATCGTGAGGGACGAATCAGCCATCAGTTTGATTACAGCAAGGATGACAATGAGAGAGAGTTCACTGTAGCTTGCACAAGCCCAAGTGGACAGGCAGTTTGTATCGGCAGTTACGATAAGTAATAAAACATTCTACTTGCGTTTTTCTCCATTTCTATCACATTTATTTTTGAAAATTAAAATTTTTACCATGGTTTATTGCTAGGCTGCGATTATTTTCATGGAATCCTCGGAAGCAATCTTGGGAGGAAGAAGCTGTCAAAGATATTCCAAATCTTTACACTATTACTGCTATGGCTTGGAAGAGAGATGGATCCAGGGTGGCCTGTGGAGCACTTTGTGGTTCTGTGGAGATGTTTGAATCAGTCATCAAGTAAGACTTCTTCATAATGTCTTTTGCTTCTCCCACAAATTGCATTGTTGCTCTTGGTGGCTTTCTCCTTGCTGTGAATCTACATATGTTTGATTGCCAATTTTGTTACCTTTTGTTTAGACGGATGCTGTGGAAAAACAAATTTGAAATGACTTATGTCGGACCAAGTCAGGTGCTTGTAAAGCCATTGACCTCAGGTTCTAGAGGAGTGGTTCTCAGATCACAATTTGGATATGAAATAGATGATGTTCGAATTATGGGAAGGGACAACTATTTAGTTGCAAGGACGCCTAAAACACTTTTGTTAGGTGATCTAGAAAGGAACCTTCTTAGTGAAGTAAGATAATCCCTTGTTATTTGTGGGTTTTAATCTGATCCCATTTTTATCATTACTTGGTCAGGTTCTATATACACTTACTTTTTCCCTCAGGTGATGTGGCCCAACTCTGGTCGGAATGAGCGGTTTTATTTTGATAATCCAATGGTATGTTTGATTTTTAATGCTGGGGAATTAAGCCTTGTAGAATATGGCAACAATCACATTCTAGGATCAGTTAGGTGGGTTACTTTTAAAAAATATATCTTTTTCTGTTAATTAAAAAAACAGTAGATCTGTAAATTTTTTAAAATGTGCTTTCTACATCCTTCTAGGACTGAGTTCATGAACCCTCATCTGATCAGTGTCAGATTGAATGAAAGAAGGCCAGAAAACAGTACTGAAGACTGCAAAATGCTTGCACATCTTCTTGATTTGAAGACTATTTGTATTGGTATACATTGTGCTTTTATTGTTCTACAGTTCTAAAATTACTTTTTAAATCCTAGTTTTACTTAAAATGATTTGTATTTCAGTTGATTTGGTGTATGGTGTTACTCTGTCTCAAGTAACTCATGATTCTAAAATTGATTGGCTGGAACTAAATGAAACCGGACAGAGACTACTATACCGTGACAAAAAGATGCGCCTAACTCTTCTGGATATTAGATCCGACTCAAAAACTCTTATCTTAAGTTATTGCACATTTGTTCAGGTAACATTCCGTGGTCACATGGACAGATGCTACTTAACTTCTTAACTTTCTTCACAGTTCTTTTGTCAGGTTTATTTTTAATTCTTATTCCTCTTCCAGTGGGTTCCTGGCAGTGATGTTGTTGTTGCTCAAAGCCGTTCTAACCTTTGTGTTTGGTACAATATTGACCGACCTGATGGTGTCACACTCATAATGGTGAAGGGAGAGGTTACTGATGTTGTAAGGACAGATGGAAAAACTGAAGTAAGCACCTACAGAGTTTACTTTGTTTTTGCATCATTTGGCATCATATTTATTATTTCCATATGTATTTTACCAGGTTTTAGTGCTTGAAGGACATTCCCAGCTGAGTTATGAGCTTGATGAAGGCCTTGTTGAATTTGGTACTGCTGTACATGATAATGATTTCGGACGAGCAGTTCTGTATCTTGAAGGCTTACGAGACCGTGCTGTTGCTGAAGGAATGTGGCAGAATTTAGGTGCAATAGCTCTATCACAGAATAATTTACTTGTTGCGGAGCGTTGTTATGCAGCTTTGGGTGACATATGTCGAACTCAATTTCTAAGAGAAACTAAGCGAATTGCAGATGATTATTCAAAAGAGACAGGTAAGAATTGTTTGTCATACAATTTTCAGTGTAATACATGATGAATTTCGTTCCGATTAAAATACCATTCATACAGGTCAAGATTGGATCACCTGCCCAGATCTTTGGGCAAGGATGGCAATATTGAATAATAAGCTTAAAAGTGCTGAGGCAATATACTTAGAGCAAAATCAAGTTGACAAGGCTATAAATATGTATCAGAAAATGCATAAATGGAATCAAGGTACGTATGTAAATGGTTTATCACATTAATTTATTTAATTATATCTCCATCTTAAATTTAAAATAAAATTGTTTCAAAGCACTGGCGATTGCTGAGCTAAAAGGTCATGATGGCAAAGAAGAGCTTGCTTCAAAATACCTCTCTTGGCTAATTGAAACAAAACAAGACGACAAAGCAGGTGAAGTTAAGGAACAAAATGGAGACTTGGAAGAGGCTTTGCGACTTTACCTGAAAGCAGGGTTACCTCTTCGTGCTTCAAGGTCTGTGTGATCTAAGGAACAGTTCCAAATACTATACCACTAGCTAACTAATGAATTCTGGAACAGACTCTTGCAGAATAATCCCCACCTTTTGTCGAATGATGATCTGGTGTCTCGTGTATCATCTGCTCTTCACCGAGCAGAATTGTTTGAACAAGCTGGGCAACTTTATGAGAAACTAAATCAACCCCAAAAAGCTCTTGATTGCTACCGCCGTGGGCATGCCTTTGCACGCGCTGTTGAACTGTCTCGGCAAATTTCTCCTTCAGGTCAGAAATCTTTTCTGTACAGCTATTTACCTAATCTTAATTATTTTACTTATTAGCTGAAGATATTTTATTATTTCCTTTGTTTACAGAAGTTGTAAGTCTTGAGGAACAGTGGGGTGATTTCCTGGTCAACTCACAGCAACTGGACGCGGCAATCAATCACTATATTGAAGCAGGTAAAATGAGCAAAGCACTTGATGCTGCAGTTGGCGCTAAACAGTGGAGAAAGGCAGAACAAATTATCCAAGTAAGTTCACATCCCTATATATTATTACGTGCTTGTAATTTCATGCACTCTACACTATGTTACAATTTCCAAGTTTTGTATTGTTTTCTTTGCTCACACAGCACTGTAATTACATTTGATTGCAAATGCACTGCTTTTAACTTGTATGTTGTTGTGCTTTTCTTCTCCGAGCTGAAACTGTGTAGGTTTGTTATCAAAATAAATTGTATTGGCAGCCTTTAAAAAAAATTTTTTAATGACGGTGTGTCATTGTCTGTTTATTGTGTTCTGATGTTCAAAATGTTTAACCAGGTGATTAAAGATAATAGTATTGTGGAAAAATATTCTGTTCTACTTGGACAGCACTTTGCTTCTGTTCAAGATTACAGCACTGCTGAAAAATTGTACTCTCAGGCAGGCATGTACAAAGAAGCTGTAGAAATGTACAACAAAGCAGGTACATGCTGTTAATGATCATGACACTTATGTCTTGCTGTCTTACTCTTTGAATCTTTTATTGATATTCATAAGATGTCTTTCATTTTTCTAAAGGGCTTTGGGAGAAAGCTCACATGATTGCTAATCTCCACTTGCAAGCCAAAGAAGTAAATGAAATGTACACTGAGCAGGCAACATTGTTACAACAACAAGGAAAGTTCCGTGAAGCTGAAAAGCTTTTTATTTCCATTGAGCAACCTGATGCAGCAATATCAATGTACAAGCAACAAAAACAATATGACCAGGTATAGTTTAAAAAATATATATACAGTATTCAAAATGTGGGTCAATCTCCTTAAAAAAATAAAACAAAAAATATTTATGGTATGGTGCTGAAATTTGTTGTATTTCAGATGATGAGGTTGGTTTCTCTACATCACCCTGACTTGGTCCAAACCACTCATTTACACCTGGCTCAGCAGTTGGAGGCAGAATCAAACTATCCTTCTGCAGAACATCATTATGTTCAGGCTGGGGATTGGAAAGCTGCTGTTAATATGTATAGAACAGCTCTCATGTGGGAAGAGGCATACAGAGTAAATTTATATTTTTTTAAAGTTTACGTTTCTTTAAAAAGACAAATTTTGAGAAAAGCCTTTAATCTTTGTATCAAACTTGACATTTAAAATCTTTTTATTTGTAATTCATAGGTAGCCAACCAGAAAGGTGGAACAGCTGCTGCAAAACAGGTTGCATTTCTGTGGTCAAAAAGTCTGGGTAGTGATTCTGCTGTGAAGCTATTAAATAAGATGAATATCCTTGAGGCTTGCATTGATTATGCATGTGAAACTTACCAGGTACATTGTTTTTCAGAACAACCTCATCTTTAATCTTATAAGTACTGTATTTTACACTTACCCAATTACTTTTCATTGATTTGTAGTTTGATTTTGCCTTTGAACTCTCTCGACTGGGGCTTAAAGCACATTTGCCCCAAGTACACTGCAAGTATGCCATGGCTTTAGAGGATGATGGGAAATTCCAGGAGGCAGAGGATGAATTTGTGAAGGCTGGAAAGCCAAAGGAAGCTGTTTTAATGTATGAAATTATTACCCAATGCAAAAGATTCTGTACCAATGTTTATTAAATAAGGAGAAATTTGTCTTAACTTCTCCCTATTTTGTAATTGTTATTTCCTTAGGTATATTCACAATCAGGACTGGGATAATGCTGCTCGCGTTGCTGAGTTACATGATCCAGGTAGTGTTTCTGATGTCCTAATCGGACAGGCCAATGATGCATTTGCTCGAAACAATCTCCCTCGTTTTGAATCATTGTTGTTACGTGCACATAAACCTGAATTTATTGTTAAACAATACAAGGTAAGAGTGTAAACTACCTATATGTTCAACAGGGTATGTTTTAAATTGTTTAATCAATTTTTTTTGTAATGTACCATTTAGGAAGCAGGCATGTGGGTAGATGCTTTGCGAGTGTGTCGAGAATATCTACCTGTGCGCCTTCCGCAACTTCAAACAGAATATGAGCAACAGCTTGGGAGTTCCACTGGTCCAAATGACATCAATCATCTAATGGCTCAGGCTAAAGAGTGGGAAGAAAGTGGTGAATATAAGACTGCAGTTGATTGTCTGATTAGAGTATGTAAATTTCATATTTCATATGCAATCCACTTTATTCTTATTGCATACAGTAGCTTTCTGCAGCAAGACTTAAATATTTGCCTCTTTTTCTCTAGGCAAGTTTAAACGCTAATGATTCATCTCTGATTATGCGCTCTCTCTCTGATGCCGCAGAGATCACCATGAAATTTCTTGAGGGTAACCAAGCAATGGAAGCAATTCGTGTATTAGGTACTTCTGAATTTTTGGCTGATCTGTAATGTGTTCTTAATTTAATATTTGGTTTTGTTTCTAAGACACCTTATTATCAAACATCTTATTTTAGGTCCCAGGCTTGTTGAGATGAAACAGTCTAGTCTTGCTGCGCAGTTATATTTATCTGCTGATATGAGCCGAGAGGCCATTGATGTACTTATCCAGGCTGGAGATTGGAATAAAGCAAAGAAAATTGCCCGAGAATATGATGCAAGGTGATACTAACTGCCAAGAATTTCTGTCTATTTAATAGATGTAAGCCTTCCTGTTCTAAGATCGTTGTCTCTCTCTCTCTTTGGATAGTTATGAAGCGTATGTTGAGGGGAGGCAAAAAGATTTGCTTCGTGCGCAGGGCAGAGTTGATCAGCTGGCTGATGTTGATGTCATCAGTGCTCTTGACCTTCTGGCTGAACAAGAACAATGGGATAGATGTCTAGAGGGGGCCTCACCGCATGGACCTCAAGTACTCCACAAATATGTAGCTCTCTATGCATCTCAGCTGATAAAGGTTTGTATGAGACTTTATGTTTTTTAGTTTAAATTAATTTCATTATGTAACTATAAGCTATAAGTATTATTTTCTATTTTTTCAGGAAGAGCTTTCATTAAAAGCACTTGCTCTATATGTGAAATATGATACCCCAGCTTTCCCTCAAAATTACAACATTTATCGCAGAATAGCTCTAGATTTATTTAGCATGCCTGGTCTTGATAATGTGGATTCGTTTACAACATGGAAACAGCTTCGCTCAATGTTGTTCAGTCTGGTAAATATTGTTGATTTATTTTCTAGTTTCTTTAAATACATTTATGAATAATCAGACCATTTATTAATATTTCAGACAGAGAGTATGAGGACTAGCACAGAGGGGGGCACTCAAGTTCATCAGGAGTTTGAGACTCTATTGAAAATAAGTCATTACTATACTCTTTGGTCAGCAAGCCGAGCAAGCCCTGCAATGGAACAAATAGCTTTCAAACTAGCTACTTCTTTACTAAGGCACTCAGACATTATTCCAGCAGACAAGGCATTTTATGAGGCTGGGATGGCCGCAAGGGTAAAGAAAAGCATAAAAACATTGTACTCCAATTTGAAGTATTTTTAAGCTACATTAATTATTGTTGATTTAATTGAACTTTATTGTATGGCAGGGTGTTGGAAGAGAGGATGAAGCATTTGTGTTCCTGAATCATTATTTAGATGTGTGTGAAGCAATTGAAGAAGGCAATGCAGATTTGCTTGATCATTCTGACTTTACAGAAACAGATTTTCCTCAAGAAATTCCCCTTCCTGCTGCACCATATTTAAGCCCCCAACAGCATGAAGAGGTCAAGGAATGGGTTCTTGCTATATCAATGGACCAAAAAGTTGACCAGGTATAACTTTTAACAAAAAAAAACAAACAGACATTTGTGTAATATATTGTTATTTTCCACAAGTCATTCAATAAATCTCAAAATTGTGATTGCAGGTTCTTCCCTTGGATGACCGAAATCTGTATGCATCATCTCTCCGTTCCAGCAATAAGGCAGAACCTGCAGCTTTTGCTTGTGTTGTCACTGGGTACCCTGTATTAGGTGTTGGTTCTGCTAGGGTAGGGAGGCACCCCCAACCTGTTGAGTTTCAAAGACAAGGCTGTTACGCAAACCAAGAAGACTGGAACAGTCTGGTGATGGCTGCCAAGTTAACAGGTTCAACCTCATCTAATTTTGCTGATGTTGTTGATTTTGTCAGTGAGTGGTGTGGAGGGAGCAGTAACAGTACTGGAGCAGTGAGCATGACAGGATTTTCTTTCAGATAGAAAGTTATGACATTTGTATTTTACTCTAGTCATATTGTTCCCGATTTTCACTTAAAATTGTAATGTGAACCATGGCCAAGTGCGTTGTATTTTTGTCTTTTTTAGTTGGTTAAGATTCAGTTAGGTAATCAATCTGCACCAATGTTTTGTTTATTGACATTAAAATGTCAAAAGTTTATTTTCTCTGTTTTTGTCTTTTTTGATGTTTTTTACATTTTACACAGTATTATCAAAAACAAATAAGTATAACCAAGGATTATTCAAGTTTCAAATGTTTACGACAGTTGACAATTTGAATTCTTAGTTATCAAAGGGAAGCAAGTACAATTTTCACAATCTACTGATATTGAGCAACAACATGAAATTGAATTGGAAGAATTGATCTTTGGAAGTAAGATACATCATCACAGAAAAAGTTTATTGTTAGAGAAAGAGAGAGAGAGAGAGAGAGAGAGAGAGAGAGAGAGAGAGAGAGAGAGTAGTGACTTTGGTCGATCTTTATGACCTACATTTTAAAAAATATCAACACTTTTTATACTAATTCAAAGTAATTATGGTACCTACAAATATCACGTGAATGGTTTTTGCTTTCAGTCTGAAGGTGGCCCAGTGTCTCATATTGAGCCTAAAATGTCATCAATCTACCTACCATTATTCTAGACAATTTAGCAAATCTTTGGAACCTACTTCGTATGCTCATTCAATCAAATGCCTAAGTGTGGATATGTGAGTGGTGGGCTGGATTGAGGGAGGTTTTGTTTTGGGGTGGTTAGTTTGCAGGGAAGAGCTGGTCGTAGGTGAAGTGCTCCGTGATCCTATTGGCGACCTCCAGCAACATGTTGGATGCAGTTGCGTCGATGATGGGTTTGATGACCTTGATGAATTCCTTGTTGTTGGCGTTAATAGCCTGGTTCACCGATTCGCCTGAAAAGAAAATGATTGTATTAACCGGTCAGGGTCCATAGTCTTGTGGTGGTGCGCGCCTCCGGAGCGAAGCGGGCTGCCTGTCGCCCCCGTGTACTCACTCAGTACGGGGTCGTTGCCGAACAGGTTGCCGAGGTAGATGTGGTAGTTCGACAGTGCGACGTCCACGTCCATCTTGTCGAACTTGATGTAGCGCTGGCCATTGCGCATCTCAATGTGGCCCTGAAGGGTCGCCTCGCCGTACACGTCAGCTGCAAAAGTGTAAACGACAGAGGTCAGTGAAGGTGGTGGACGTAAAGGGAGGCGCATGTGGGTCGCCAGGGAACTCACTCGTGTTGCCTGTCATGGGGCCGCGGGCCTTGATAGGGAGCGCCAGGACGTTGACGTTGACCTCGTACTCGCCGTTGAACTTGATGACGGGGATCTCGATGCTGGCGCGGAACGTGTTGGTGTCCAGGTCGGCTCTGCGAGAGGACGGAGTATGGGTGAGCTCACGGTCAGTCGGGGACAGCCGACGTCCGGCGGGGCTGTGCCCTACTCACTCGATCTTGTGGATCTTGAAATCACTGACGCCCCTCGCATCCACGTTGTGGCCCAGCGCCTTGAACCTCGGCAGGCGAGAATTCTGCACAGGTGTCACGTTGATCTCTCGAAGATGCAGTGGCTCCAGGCCGGGTACCTCCAGCTCCGGGATACCTGCGCCACTCGGACGGTTAGTCTCACGCCACCAGAGTCGCCTCTCTAGATGCACTGGGCGCCATGCTCTAAAACGTACCGGTCTTCAGCTTGGGCCTGAGGTTCTCGATCGAGTCCTTAATGCAGGGGATGAGATTGGGGTCGTTCCTCTTGCAGACCTTGATGTAAGGCGCTGCAACAAAGACAGGACGTGGCATTGAGAACAAGAAAAAGTACCCGAATTCAACCAAATGAAAGATAAAAAATTCTCTTGGAGAAGGAGACTACACCCGGCCCCTCACCCGGGTCCCATACCCTACACTGTCGTGATTCCTACATGACGTCATCCAAAATCCACTCTACACGGTTTGTTATTATTTTCGCGTCAAAGCAGGTGCCGGCGCGTCTGACGCAGGTGTGGGAAAGGTTGACGAGTTGCCTCGGGCGGGGTGGCGGGGCGGGGAGCGCCCGGGCAGTAGGCAACCGCCAGCCCCCGCTGCCCTCCGCCTGCCTACCTGCCCGGCGGGCGCTGCCTGCTGCCGCTCCGCGGGCCCCGCCGCCGGGAAGCTGGGGAAGCTGCGGCGGGGCTGCACGCGATAGGCTCGCTCACCCACTTCCTCAAGGTGGCGTTTGGGAATTTGTTGAAGAAGCGCGTGCCATTGTTTAAAGACGACTCGGCGCGCTCCGGTGCGCACGCGGGCGTACCAGGGCCTTGGCGCCTTGGCGCTGGAAGTGCCGCCGCGCGCGCCGCTCGACCAACAGTCCGATCCTGTTTGCCCGCAAATCCGAGGTGCGCCGGGGGCGACGGGGGCGGCGGGGCCGACAGGAGCTACTGCTCGCTCGCGCCAAGGCGGGGTAGTTCCCATGGTTGGGGCAGGTCGCGTTAGCTCGGCTGGGTCCGTGGACCCAGGGCCGCGGGGCGCATCGCGGGGCGCGGGGTAACGTGGTGCGGAGGTGTGAAGCGACCACCCGTCCGAGTGGGTGTTGCGCGACGCGGCCAATCTGAATATTACAGGAAACGCGCCATGGAGCTCCTGATGGACACGCGTCCGCTCGCGCGCCCCGTTGCGAGCGAGGCGGGGCGCACGACGAGCGGCAGTCTAGTCTAGTCGCTGGCGCCGCTGCCCCGCCGCCCCGGTCTTCCGAGGAGCTCGAGGGAGCGTGCGTCGGGTCGGGACTGGGACTTGCGGAATATTCCATCGGACAGGAGCAAAACGAGACGCTCGGTTTTTCGCGCGCTTTGTTGATGTCGTGCTGCTGTTGATGGTGAGAGAGAACACTCGCGCTGATTGGCCTTTGTCTTTTCCCAGGAGGCCGTTGGGAAAAAAATGGGGTATGTTCACCAATTATCGACAGCTCTGAACTGACGACACATCAAATTGGTGCGGCCAAACGAAATGAACGCCTTGAAAAATAAACCAGCGATGCCCAGAGCCCGTTTAATCGCATCTCACTGAAAAGCTGAAAAGCATCAAAAGCATCGACGTCACGCCTCAGTATGACCGTGAACTTGACGCGGCTGTTCTAGGAAACGTATCGAAGAGATGATTACACTAGATGCTCTAGACACACCGCGGAGGCGGGGGAGCGCTGCGCCGGCCCTCTGGGCTCGGGCCGGGCTCCGGTGGGAGGAGCAAAACACTGTTGTTGGCACTCGTAATGGAGTTCCGCGAGCACTGAGGAGGAACCACCTCTTGGGGGGATTCCCTCAGGCACCCGAGCACGAGAGCTCGTCGCTCATTGCGTCCGTCCAAAATATTACGCCTGACTTGATATGACCAGCACACATAGACAAGTCGGTAAATATGCGGGAAAATGCTGCCCCCACTGCATATCCAGGCGACGTATGACAAAACATTCTGACAATTTTTTTTTTGAATATTTTGAAAAAACTGCTAAATTATTCTAGAAACTATGTTCAGTGCCACATTGCGTTTCACTTGATACATCGACAACTTTAAATACTTCATTCGTTTTTTGTTAAATGTGGTCCATGAAAAGGAGTGAAAAGTAATTTGGAAGAAGAAGATGCAGTTTGAAAATTTTCATTCCACAGCAACGAAAATCAGTTTGGCAGTTAAAATAATTGCACTGGCACTTAAAATAGGAAGTGACCATTTGGATTACACGTAAACAGAGGATTTTGCGCGGTAAAATAACGGGCATTGCCGTTTGCCGTGGAGTCCGGGTTCGTGCGGAAAGCGCTCCCATCGATGGCGATTTAGCCGTCATTCCGTGCCTGTTTTGCAAACTCTTATTTTCCGCTCAGACAACCGCTTTCTGCAAGCAGTGGCAGGCTCTTTGCCAGGGAATGTGCAGGAAAAGTCCGAGAGGACGACTTTGATGACTCATGTTACGGGCATGGCGGAGAGGAGGCAGGAGCGGTAGATGTGCGTCGGAAAGGCAGAGGGATTCACCCGGATTCACCCGGTCTTCCAGGGAATTTCCACCACAATTCCACAAGTCTTGTATCGCGCCCGGGATGGTGAGAACTCGCCTCCCGTAGGAGCGGAGAAAGGGACGGGGGAATAAGGGGAGAGAGGCGGAGCAGGCGGACGTCTGTTTTGTTTTTGTTTGTCGTTTTTTCCTCGATTGAGCGCGCGTCAAATGCGGTAGATGATGATTCGCTCTCCGCGTAGTCGCGGAGCCGGCGGCGGCGGGCGCACGCCCAGCTGGACGATTAATTCAAGCGACCGCGGCTCAGCTGGCCGGTGCGCGGGGCTGGCGCGGGGCTGGCGCGGGGCGGGTGCGCATCGGTCTCGGTGCCCAACACCATCGCGGCGGCGGCAGGACTCGCGGCAGGACTCCCGATTTAGGAAGAGGGCTTCTGTACAGTTCTGCGTTCGCGCGCCCGGCGCGTCCACCACGCCGCCGCGGCCTCGGCTCCTACATGTCGCCGGCGTGAGGAGCTCTCTCATCAGGATGCACTTGTGGACCGTGATTACCGAACCTTCTCCGCCCCCTCCTCCTCCTCCCCCTCCTCCTCCCCGCCCTCCCGGCCCGCCGCGGCAGCCCCGACCTTCGCCGCACTCGCCGCCGCCGTCCCCTCCATTTTTCACACGCCTAGTAGTGACACGCGGCAGAGTGGTGCTACGAAAAAATACTGCACCCGCGTTGGCGGTACTTGCTTTCCGGCGAATCGCTCTGACTGCCTGGTTTGCTTGGCCCGGCCCAGCCGTTTTTGCCTGCCGACTTCGTGCCGCCGCCGCCGCCGACTGTACGCCTGCCTATAGTCCTGCTTGCCCCACGAACATCCCATTGACGATGGGTTTGACGCACTCCCTGCCATTCTGGGTGGCTCCAGGACAAGGAAGACCAACAATGTGGTACGTGGTACGCACATGCGTCGAGAATGGAGTGGAGAAGCTGGGCCCCGCTGCCCGCGTACCCCCGTGTTGATGGCCAGGAAACGTCCAGAGAGTATGCCCGTGTTGTTCGGATTCATTCGGAAAATGACGGTAGCTCGGCGCCTGTGAGACTCGGGGTAGGCCAGCCCGCAGTACACGCATACACTGCAGGCAACATGTTGCCTACCCATCAGGCGCTATGAGAGCTTACATGGGCTGAACTTGTCTGGTTCACAATGGCGAATGACAGACTCACTTTCTGTATGATCCTCCCAGCACGCCGAGCACGGGGGCGTCATTCGGTGGCACTCTACCCCAGGGCCAGGCGGCCATGCGCTCCCCTGACGACTGGTTCAGGGTGGGGGCATCCTGTTATCATTTTGGTCGCGGGGTGGTGGTGACTTTCGCTCCCCTCCTCCTAGTGCACGGGGGGCGCTCGGTACTCACGGATGGCGAGCTCCTTCTGCTGGGCGCGGCCAAGGGCGAGGACGGTGGCGAGGACGCCGAGGGCGAGCAGGGTGGCGGTCCTCATGTTGGTGGCGTGCGTGTGTGGATGCGAGGATGGCTTGCCGGCCAGTGATGCCGCTCCGGGCGTCCCGCCTGCCTTTATAACAGCGCGTGCCGGTGCGGCGGGCGGCGCGCCCGGCCCGGCTCGGCGGGAGCGCCGCCCGCGGGTGGGCCGCCCGCAGCACCGCGCGCCGCGCCGGGCCTGCCCACCCACCGGGCGCGGCGCAACCGGGCGCAGGGGAGGAGCGAACTCTAACCCCTGCATCGCGTCGGTTCTTCGAAGAAATAAAATATTCCGACGCTCCGGTCTGGTGGAACGCAGAACAGCTGCACATCCCGTGTGCACTGTGCTCCCCGGGTGTCCACCGCGATGCACACTCGGAGACGCGCGCCGTTGCGGGTGTCGCCTTCGGTGACCACGAATTAGCATTTCCCTCGTGACGCACGGACGGAAATTGTGCTCTTGCTCGGAGGCGTTTGGGGTCCGGCGGCCCGGCGACCTTTGCGGTCGGTCAGCACTGCTGATGGATTTTTCGAAAAAGAAAATTCCACCGGCAGCGAAGTGTTTTGCTCGCCTTGATCGCGTACGCGTTTGATTACGGCGGGCGCCTTGTGATCCAGAAGACCGGGTGCGTCGCGCGAGGTGCCGTTTGGGGAAGACCCGGCCCGGCCCGGCCCGACCCGACCCCCCGGACCCGGAGGCGTGGCTGCTCACTCAGCCGCACCAAACATCCTGATGCCGCTGCCGTCGCTGATGCTGGGCCGAACAAAGTGTTCGCGACCGGTTCGAGCGAGGCTTGGCTGCACCAGAAACCCTTGGACCAGGCAGACGCACCGCCAGTGATACCAATCTGTATGCTGTCACTGCCAACACCGACAGCGGCAAACCGCATTGATGCATGTCAAAACGGGAAAACGGTAACGTTTTCAAACTTATCATTTTGCACCTCAGACCGTCGCCAAACAGAAAAACAAATCGTTTAAAATGTTGTCCGGGTTGTGCTTTTTTTCTTAGTAGTGATTACTCAGTGACGTATGTCTTCTAAACTCAAGCAATTGAGGTGGAAGAGAAAGATGAATTAATTAATGGAAATGTTGGAAATAAATTTTAACATTTGCTCATTGGACATAATTGTAGGGAGAAAGGTGTCTAGATTGAAAATTCAGGACAACATGTTGTGCACGAAAGTGTCACGGAAGGAACGTTTCTAGAGCCTTTGAACTGCATTTGATTTTCACAAGTGTGATATTTTGGGGCGTCTGACAATCCGCTATAGCTATGCCCCATGCTCCGAATTTGGCACTGTTCTGTAGCTATTTGCAGCAATGAATAATTAAGGAGAGGTAGAATTTATTAACACCATCAGGTGCAAAATCAAACTATGTATGAGAAATTTGTAATAACGCGCAATCTATTTAAACCAAGATTGAACTTCTAGTCTTCAGTAGAAACTCAAAGTAGGGGAGCCACCTCATCATTTCACCAGCACACACATGCACAACAAACACGTTGTTTTCACGATGACCTCACCTCACCGGTGACATCACGGTCACGACCTCGGAAGTCATAAAGAGATCACAATGACGTCCTCGTGAGAACCACGTCTTTCTTAGGTGAACTCCAAAAAA